GAGAAGTGATTTTCGAATCAAGTTTGACAGTGGCGTGATTTTCCTGGACCAATCACAATTCTTTGCTAAGCATAGCAACCAATGAGATTGCTTCATTTTGTATAGACAATAGATTACGTCAAATGGCTTTTTTTCGCGTTCACCAAAGTGGACAAAGGCCGGCTTTCGAGTTATGTTGAAAGACCTTAAAATAAAATAAAAAAGGTTTTTCTGTTGATTCCTTATTATATAAAACAAATAGATTCCATGTTGCCGTGCGTCTGTTCAGTATTAGTAAGTATAAATCTACTAGCGTTCTATCACGAATGCCGTTCTCTGATTGGCTACTCTACCCACTAACTATTCTGTGATAGATAGTGAGTAGCGTAGCAGTGTGCCCCTGTTAACAAAATGACGGCCGCTTCTTGGCGTTTTCGAAGTGTCTGTAAAGAGATTTAGATAAAGTTTTGAACGACTAGTAGATTTATACTAAATTAATTAGATTGTTCGCTCTCGATTTCGTGATAGTTGACGAGGGCCCAGCCCGAGTTAACTATCATGCGATGGAAATCTCGAGCTCATAATCTAATTGCTTCATAGATCACAGAAGACGTCAAAACGTGGTAAGAACATCAGTGACACACTCGGCTATACCAAGCTCGACCTTTTACGTTATTACGCTGTTACGAACGCTTTTCTGTTACGCTATTACGCTAATACGAGCGCTTTTCTGTAGACATTATTTTTTCAGTCGACCTGTTACGTTATTACGGTAATACGAACGCTCTTACGTATACATTACTTTTTCAGTCGACCTGTTACGTTATTACGCTACTACCGAAATCACCGAACTGTTAGCACCCCGGAAAAAACGATCGATCGCATTTGAATTTTTGGCTTGCTTACGTGACCATTTGGAGCGCCCAGATTGGTCACGTGACATTATGTTTCTTTTCTTGGGCAGAACAACTTCGCTTCGAAATGAATGCTTGCGGAAGAACTTTCCACCGTGGGAATCAATTGAAAAAGATATGAGGTCACTTATTATTGATAATATTTTGAGCGAAGGCGGGGATGTTTCAACAGAGTACTACCCAGGAAGTTTTAGAGCGATAGGATCAAAGTACGAAGTAAGCGGTGTTACAGTTTCAAACGTATGGAAGACCTTTGTCACACGGGAGAAAATCTCCCTCGCCATACTGCAGCTAGGGGTCAACCGAAAAGGCTGGAGGAACCAGAACTAGATTTGGTCGGGCTGCTGATGAAATGTAAACCTTCGAGACGCACTCCACAGGATTTACTTTGGTCACGCAAGCCACTGAAATTTTCTTTAGTTATGGTTATATATAGTCACATTGAGATGTGATTTCAGTCGAACTGCTGAACTTGCTGGAACTGTGTTTTATCGTGTTAAATGGAAAGATCAATCTGCGAGTATGATCGGCTACCTCATCACATGTTTACCGGGGATG